CTGTACACATTCTCAGCTGTGAAATTATGACACTGGTGATTGCTTCAAGTCTGAATCAATGGCGCGAGCAAGCTTTCGAAAATAGATTGGAAAAGATATTTGGAACCCCGCACAGCAGGAGCGCGCGCGGTTTAGAACCGCAAATTACGCCAGAAGAGTGGTACACTGGGGCCTAGAAAACAGGAGCGACACGGACGTCTGGAAGAAAAGGTAGTGAATGTCTCCAATTCGTATCACCGTCTCGTGTCTCTCACACGGCACGCAGTTTTCTTAGTGGCAGGTAGCTGCACCCACTTCGCCAAATCTGCACGAGATTTGGGCTCTCATGCGCTAGGTGTCTGTATTTGAGCACAAGGTTTCCATTTGTTGAATTAGATACTCGGCTTGAAGATTATTTTAACGGCTCCTTCACATCTGTCAAGATGCAAAGTGAATGGAGACTGGAAGAGGGAGGATCGATCGAAGGCCGGGACATTGTTATGATCAAGGTAGCGCGGAAGTATACGCTGTTAAAAGTGGACGGATAGAAGACCGAAAACCTGCGCAAAAACGAAGACGAGCGATGCCTGGCAGGTATGTCTATGCACAAAGCAATATTCAAGATATTTCATACGAATGTGCGCGGATTATGGTGGGGTCGAGACTGAGATGGGTTTTCCATCTCCTCACGACTAAGATAACCACGAGAACCGTGAAGTGTGCCGGAAGTATCAAAGCGTACGCTGTAAGAGTAGAGAATCGTGTCATGGTCGATATTTACCCCGTGTTGCGGTTAATAGCCAAATCGGGACGCATATCCAGAGAACGAAGGACAGTAGGTGTACAAGAAGGTATATACCGGAAAATGAACCCACTCGGAAAGGAGGGAAATACTGCGCCAGCGGCAGATCAATAGTATGGATGCGTACGAGTAAAGGGATGCTCTTTAATGTTCACCAGCAAAGTCATCAGGAAGCACCCAGGGAAGGATACCGCTGTGCCCAAAAGATGTCGAAATAAGCGCGAAGCTGGCTAAAATCATGCGCAATTAAAATGCCGCAAAGGTTGTAAAGGGGAGCACAAGGAGCTCCAACATGAGTAGCACGACTGATGATTTTGCCAGGACGGAGATCAACATTCGCACGAGGAAGATCAGCACTTGGTGATGGTCAATGTAAGCATCAGAAGAATGAACAGAAAGAACGAAGAATGGTGCTATCATTTGAGGAAAATGGTAGGATCAGCCCCATAACACCATAGGATTCATAGTCAAGGCTTTAAGATAATGAAAACGGTCTGAATTAGTAAATGAGGGAAGATCCGCAAAAGAAAACACGTTAATGCGGGGAGGAAAAGGGGAGGCGATACGCATCATGAGAAGGAAGATGATCAAGAACCGTACAGGTGCTTGACATCCGAATGGTGCATATCAAGGACAGGGTGATACAAATATGCGCGTAGAGGAATAGGAAGTTGTGTCTGATGTTGAAAGCAAACGTTTGAAACAAGATGAAAATTTGCATCGGGAGGAGCGTAAGGGTTGCCATGAAGGTCAAAATGTATACGAGGAGGAGCAACGACCGCGCAGGAAGAAGGGGAGCTGTATATAAGAATACCACAAGATGGAAGATTCGGCACAAGGGAGATTCAGCAGTAGCAAGAAAATTGTGACTCCCACAACGAAGAGTTTTTTTACACGTCTCCAGGAACAGGAACATGTCCAAGCGATTAAAAAAACTGTTATCCAAACCTGTTAAATGGATGGGTTTCAGGGACCAAAGTGTACGCTAAGAAGTGTTTGTTGGGCGAGCCGCGGACCCTACCATCCGATCGCGCAATTCCAAGTTAACGGCAGAAACCGGTGGTCTAAATTTAATTTGCCGCACTGCTTGGCACGGTCCGTCCTGCCCGCTGACGTCAACTAACCTTTAGCGTTGCCACGACCACCGGCGGGGGGCCATACCTGTCAAGGGCAATACTGTGAAACTTGCGTGAGGAAGAGTAGCAGTCGAACTCAGGAAATGAGGCAAAATCGGCACGAGGAGGAGGAGGAGGAGGATTAAGATCGGCACGAGGAGGACGATCAAGATCGGCATGAGCAGGACCAAGATTGGCACGTGGAAGGGGATGATGTTTGACACGAGGAGTAAAGAGGATCGATCTCGCACGTAAAATAATATGAAGACCGCATGTGCAATGGGGAAAAGAGAGGCAGGAATGGAATATTAATATTCCATGAGAAAAATAGGCTTGCATGAGGACTCACCCGAGGAATGATAGCAAGAAGCAGAGAAGGCTGAGATCAAGATGACACGACGAAAAGGGTCGTACAAGTCAAGATCGGTTTGGTGACAAGAAACCAGATTGGCACAAGGGAATTCAAAATGGACAGGGTGAGAAGGATTGAGTCTAGCACGAGAAGAGAAGATAAAAACGGGTTTGACGAAAGTATTAACCTCGCACGATAGATAACAAGCTCGCACCAAGAATAGGATGGAGCACAGCGCAAGTAGAAGATCAAGGTTCCCTCAGAAAACCGGCCGCACGAGCATCGCACGAGAACCAAGGGTACGCGAGGGTCAGGATCGGCACAAGGAGGGGTTGGGTCGGTAGGAACGAGATCAATTTCGACACAAAAAAAGAATATGAAAATCGGTGCGAGGAAGAAATCGGAAGTTTCACGATGAATAAGGTCGAGATTGTGTGTGCAAGGATAAGCATAGCGGGAAGATTGGAAAAGCAACACATCGCATAAGGAAAGGTATTAGGCCTACAAGAGGGACACGATCAAGATCGCACAGAGAAGAGGTATTGGCTCAGATGATGAATGAGATGAAGATCGCAAGGTGATTATAAGGTGGGACGGTGACGATGATGATGATGATGAGGTGGTGCACGGTGCACGGTGATGTGGGGATGCGGTGATGCACAGTGATGATGAACAAAAAAGGCGTGAGGGTTCGAGAATGGTGCGAAAAGCAGAACCAAACCACGCGACGATGGTGGTAGTGTAACCAGGGCTTTGACCAGGAATGGGAGGTGGAGTAAACGTGACCATTTGAAGTGGAGTTCATTTCAACCATGCTGGTCAACGCCTCGGCGATTCCTAGACCTGTTTTTTTTTTACATTTTGAGACTCTGTAACCCAATCTTTTCATACGATTTTGATGCGTCGGAGGGCTGCGTTTTATGCTTACTAAGCCTTATGTGCGTATCAAGCTGCTAGAAAGTGCTGGGGCAGTCGCTTCCAGAGGAGGGGGAGCGATGGTCCTGAAAGGCCTCGTCTGGCTGCATTAAACATGGTCTTCCTACTGGGGAAGAAATACTGTGATTGCACGAGGAAGAATATTGATCTCGAACATAGAAGAAAGTTACGATTACGCAGAAACATAAGGCAAAGATCGTCAAAATGGCATGAGAGGAGAAGCAGGATCAGCACAAAATGACACTCGTCACAACAAGGAAAAACATGATGGGCTTGGCTCAGGGAATCAAAATCGGCACGAGGAGGTGGATCAAGATCGGCACGAGGAAGTGGTTCAGGATGGGCACGAGGAGGTGGATCAAGAGATGCACGGGGCGGTGGATCTTGATCGGCACGAGGAGGTAGATCAAGATCGGCACGAGGAGGTGGATCAAGAGATGCACGGGGCGGTGGATCAAGATCGGCACGAGGAGGTGGATCAAGAGATGCACGGGCCGGTGGGTCAAGATCGGCACGAGGAGGTGGACCAAGACCAGCACGAGGAGGTGGATCAAGATCAGCACGAGGAGGTGGATCAAGATCGGCACGAGGAGGTGGATCAACATTAGTACGACGAGATGGATCCAGAAGAGCGCGAGGAGGTGGATCAAGATCGGCACGAGGAGGTGGACCAAGACCAGCACGAGGAGGTGGATCAATATCAGCGCGAGGAGGTGGATCAAGATCGGCACGAGGAGGTGGATCAACATTAGTACGACGAGATGGATCCAGAAGAGCGCGAGGAGGTGGATCAAGATCGACACGAGGAGGTGGATCAAGATCGGCACGAGGAAGTGGTTCAAGATCGGCACGAGGAGGTGGATCAAGAGATGCACGGGGCGGCGGATCACGATCGGCACGAGGAGGTGGATCAAGATCGGCACGACGAGGTGGATCAAGAGATGCACGGGGCGGTGGATCAAGATCGGCACGAGGAGGTCAAGATCGACACGAGGAGGTGGACCAAGACCAGCACGAGGAGGTGGATCAAGATCGGCACGAGGAGGTCAAGATCGACACGAGGAGGTGGACCAAGACCAGCACGAGGAGGTGGATCAAGATCAGCACGAAGAGGTGGATCAAGATCAGCACGAGGAGGTGGATCAACATTAGTACGACGAGATGGATCCAGAAGAGCGCGAGGAGGTGGATCAAGATCGGCACGAGGAGGTCAAGATCGGCACGAGGAGGTGGACCAAGACCAGCACGAGGAGGTGGATCAATATCAGCACGAGGAGGTGGATCAAGATCGGCACGAGAAGGTGGATCAAGATCGGCACGAGAAGGTGGATCAACATTAGTACGACGAGATGGATCCAGAAGATCGCGAGGAGGTGGATCAAGATCGGCACGAGGAGGTCAAGATCGGCACGAGGAGGTGGACCAAGACCAGCACGAGGAGGTGGATCAAGATCGGCACGAGGAGGTGGATCAAGATCGGCACGAGGAGGTCAAGATCGACACGAGGAGGTGGACCAAGACCAGCACGAGGAGGTGGATCAAGATCAGCACGAGGAGGTGGATCAAGATCAGCACGAGGAGGTGGATCAACATAAGTACGACGAGATGGATCCAGAAGAGCGCGAGGAGGTGGATCAAGATCGGCACGAGGAGGTCAAGATCGGCACGAGGAGGTGGACCAAGACCAGCACGAGGAGGTGGATCAAGATCGGCACGAGGAGGTGGATCAAGATCGGCACGAGGAGGTCAAGATCGACACGAGGAGGTGGACCAAGACCAGCACGAGGAGGTGGATCAATATCAGCACGAGGAGGTGGATCAAGATCGGCACGAGGAGGTGGATCAAGATCGGCACGAGAAGGTAGATCAACATTAGTAGACGAGAAGAGCGCGAGGAGGTGGATCAAGATCGGCACGAGGAGGTCAAGATCGGCACGAGGAGGTGGACCAAGACCAGCACGAGGAGGTGGATCAAGATCGGCACGAGGAGGTGGATCAAGATCGGCACGAGAAGGTGGATCAACATTAGTGCGACTAGAGGATCCAGATGAGCACGAGGAGGTGGATCAAGATGGGCACGAGTAGGTAGATCAAGATCGGCACGAGGAGTTAGATCAAGATCGGCACGAGAAGGTGGATCAACATTAGCGCGAGGAGGTGGATCCAGATGAGCACGAAGAGGTGGATCAAGATTGGTACGAGGAGGGGGATCAAGATCAGCACGAGGAGGTAGATCAAGATCAGCATGAGGAGGTGGATAAAGATCAGCACAAGGAGGACCAGGATCGGCAAAAAGCTGGACTCGGCACGGCAAGGAGAAACAACCACGAGGAGAGCACTCAAGAGGCCTCTGGTAACTGTACAACAAGCCAAACAGCAGCTCAAAATCGTTGATGAAATACTGCATCCACTGCTTACCTTAGAGCAAGGTCAGACATGTGTCGTTGGTGCCTGAGTACCTGGCACGCCCAAAAATATCCTGAAACGAACGGGCTGGTACCTTAGCCAACTACCTCAGCCTTTGAATACCTTAGATACCTTGGCCGAAGTCATTGCTGTTGAAGCGTCCTTAAAACCCACTAACTAACTGACCACAAACAAGATCGGCACAAGAAAGATGACGGGGTTTGGCCCGAGAACACTGGAATATGAAGATGGGACGGCAACATTGTTAAGACAAAGGAGGTCGTTACGATCACATGAGGAAGATAATCAGGATCAGCAAAGAGCCAAGTACCCTACGAGGAGAAAGAAGTATGAGGAGAAAGACCAAGATTTACACCAGGAGGAAGATCAACTTGTCATGATGATGAGGTGAAGATGGACACGCGGCAGGCATCGGAGAAGCACGAAGAATGGGATCCAGATCACGCAAGGGGCCCAGAACGATAGAAATCGTCGGCCATAGGGGCATGACGATGAGCGTCGTACGCGGCCACGTGCGAAATCAAGATCACATGAAGGAGATCAAGATTGGCATACAAAGATTTCAGTTCGGCACGAAAAGTAGAAACAAGACGGGAAATTGGGTGTCAGTGAAATCGCACTAGGAAAGATGTTAAGGTCACATCAATAATGGCATCAAGGATGACAAAAATGGTGAGTGAAGAGAGCTCGGATAAAACATCTGATTTGTGGATCACATGGAGAATCAAGATACATGATGAGGATGCTCAAGATTACCGCAAAGAGAGCCGAGGTCGGCGCGACTAGAAGTTATATCGGCACGAAGAAAGGGATCAGGATTAGCACGAGGAGATGGATCAAGATCGGCACGAGGGCATCCAGATTGGCAAATGAGGTGCATCAAGATCGGCACAGTGAGGAATAATAACATCGTCACGAGAATAAGGGTCAAATTCGGCGCGAGAAGGAGCATGAAGGTCGGCACAAGGAGGGTAGTGAGATCGACATGGGGAAGCTGATCATCGTCGGCACGAGGAAGAGGACCAAGATGGGAACGAGGGAAATCATCAAAACGGACATGAGGAGAAGGATTCAGATCGTGACGAGTGAGAGGAGGATTAATATCAACATGCGGAGGAAGATCAAGATCGGCTTAAGGAAGATCAGGCCCTGCACAAGGAGGAGGAGGAGGAGTATAAAGATGGCCCTGAGGAAGGTGTTGAACTTTAGCGATGAATGACATCAAGATTGATGGGAAGCGATCACGATCATGATCAGTGGAAGCAAGAACGGTAGCAGTGGAAACCCAAGATGAGATAGCAATATTTCTGAAACAAGGACAATCAAGATCACTCTTCGAAAAGCATCGGGATCGGCTTAAGGAGAAACACCGGCACGAGGAAGAGAATCAAGGTCGGCAGAAATTTAAGTTCGGCCTCTCGAAGAGAAACAAGATGGGCACGACGAAGAAGATCAGGCTCAAAACAAGGCCGAAGACTATTTCGGCACGAGGAGGAGGAACTAGGTCGGCGCGAAGTGGATAAAAAAACGCACAGGGATGGTGTCCTGCTTGCACGAGGAATACGATCATTGGAACAAGAACAAGACCAGAATATCAAGACGGAACAGCACTGGCATTAAGACAAGGGAGATAATCAAGGTTACGTTAGGTAGAGGATCAGAATCAGCATTAAGTTAAGCACCAGTTAATGAGAAAGAAGCACAGGGGAAAGGTCGAGATCGTCACCAGGAGAAGGAGCAATGCGCCGTGGTGAGGATCAAGATCGGCGCGGGGTAGGCATCGAAGAAGCACGAGGAATAACATCAAGATCACTTAATACATGGGGCCTAGGATGGTAAAATCGACGACCATAAGCGCATGAGGAAGGAGTCGTACGTGGCCACATGAGGAATCAAGATCACATGAAAAAACAAGATCAACTTACAAAGGTTCGAGATCGGCACGAGAACGAGAAAGACGATCGGCACGAGGAGGAAGATGAAGATCGCACAAGAGGGATGATCAAGATCGGCACGAGGAGAAAGAAAGTTCGGTGCGAGGGGGAAGGTCACCATAGGTGAGATTATGTCGAAAAAATTGCACGATGCATGCTATCAAGATCGCATGAAGATGACATCAAAACAAGAAAATGGTAAGTCAAGAGCCCTAGGGTAAAGGAAGTCAAATGTTGATCGAATGAAAAATCAAGATGATGTGAAAAAATTATTCAGATCGGCGCAAAAAGAGTCGATATCAGCGCGACAAGAAAAAGCAAGATTGGTATGGAGAGGAGGACGAAGATCACCAGAAGCAAGGGCCCACATTCTAGGTGAGTGTCGGAACTACGAGATTGAGCGAAACCGTTACCTTAATCTGAATCACATTCCCCGGCCGGGCTGTTGGGTGATTCACCGTTGATCGATCTTCGACCAGTATTTGCCTTTTTCAGGCACAATGACTTCAAGCTTTTGTATTTACCGACCTAGACAATTGAAAGTTGGGCCAGCCTGTATGCCATTTGTTTTCTACGCTGCAGGGCTCTAGTACGTAGATGATGAGCTTTCTCATTGAGTGAGACGTTGATGATAATCTGCTGACATAGTTGTGATTATAGTTCTGTTGACATAGTCTCTTAACAACAAGACAGGGGCGCCGATAGCTGATGCAGTTGGCGCGGCCTTAAAGCTCAATAACTAACTAACTGACTATCCAGGAGCAAGAGGACCAAGATCGGCTCGAGCAGGTGGATCAAGATCGGCACAAGAGGGAGCATCCAGACTGGCAAAGGAGGAGCATCAAAATCGACACCAGAAAGAGGACCAAGATCGAGACGAGGAGGAATAGCAAGATCGGCACGAGAAGGAGGTGGATCAAGAGCAGCGCGATGAGGGGATCTAGACCGGCACTTGGAAGTGCGCCGAGACCGGCACGAGGAGTGCCAAGCTATGCACTGTCACCAAGATGGAAAAGAATACCGACACGAGGGGGAAGCTCAAGATTGACGTGAGGACGATCAAGCTGTACACAAGGAGGAGGAGAAGAAAAACTAAGGTAAACACGAATAAGGTGTCGAAGTCGCACGATCAATAGCATCAAGGGCGCATGAGCGACGGGAACAAGAAAAACAGCACTGGGATGACAAGATGTGATAGCAAGATCGTCAAGACAGGGAAGAAGATCAACATCACGCTAGGAAGAGCAGGAGGACCGGCGGAAATGAGAAACATCACCGGCACGAGGAAGGGAATAAAGATTGGCAGAAATTGGTGCCCGGGATGACTAAAAAAAAGATCGGCACGGCAAAGAAGACCAAACGTGGCACAAGAAGGAGGACGAAGAAAGGCACAAGGAAGGAATGGAATTTGCACGAGAAATGCGATCAAGATGTCATGAGGAATTGGGAGCAAGAACAGCCTGGCTGAAATGTTAAGATGGAAGGCAACATCGTCAAGACAGTACATAATCAAGATTACATAAGGAATAGGAGCCAGAACGGTTGAAATCGACGACCATTGGCGCATGCGGAAGAGGGTCGTACGTGGCCGCAGAAGGAATCAGAAATGCATGAAGAAAACTAAGATCAACTTACAGTGGATCGAGATTGGCACGACAACCAGAAACACGATCATCACGAGGAGGAAGATTAAGATCATACAAGGAGGACGATGAAGATCGGCATGAGGAGGACGGTCAGGCTCACCACGAGGAGAGGATCAGGTCAAGCACAAGGAGGAGGATCCCCATCGGCGTGAGAACCGGGAACATTGTCGACACAAAAAAGGTCAAGACCGGCGTGCCGAGATATATCAAGATAAGTACGCGACAGGCAACGAAATCCCACGAGTGATAATATCAGGATCACATGAACAATGAAAAAGGACGGCAAACGTGTAAGATCCTTCGAACCAACGGATCAAACGTGAACTGCTTGAGAATTCAGCAAAACATGACGAAGTGCATTTATATATACGCAGGGAGAGTGGAGGTCCTCACGACAAGAAGAAACAAGATCGGCGCGTGGAGGAGAATTTAGATAGGCACGACGAAAAGGATCAAGATCGGTACGGAAGGGAGGACCAAGACTGGTACGGCGAGGAAAATCAAGATTGCTACGAGGAGGTGGACGAAGATTTGCATGACGAAGAGGATCAGGGTCGCCGGATTTAGAGTATCAAGGTCACCACGGAGCGCAGGGAGGAGCATTAAGCTCATCACAAGGACGAGTAACAAGTTTGGCACCAGGAGGAGGGTCAAGATTGGCGCTAGGAGGGTCAATATGGACACGAAGAGGAGTGTCAAGATCGGCACGAGGAAGTGGATCAAGATCGGTACAAGGAGGAGGATTGTGGTCGGCAGGAAGAGATAGATCACGATCAGAAGGTGGAAAAATATCAGGATAAGCAGGCGGAAGGCAACGATATCCCATGAGGGATAATATCAAGATTACATGAGGAGTACTAAAGGACATCAAAAGTGGAAGGTCAAGAGCCTGTGCATAAAGGTGTCAAACCGCATGAGGAATCAGCAACACATGATCATGATCAAGTATCAAGATCCGCGCAAAGAGAGTCGGGGACTCCAATCAAGAAGCAAGATCGGCGCGAGGAGGAGTATCAAGGTCACCGCAAGAACGAGGAAAAAGATTGGCACGAGGAGGGGGATAAGAATCGGCACGAGGAAGAGAACCAAGATCGGCATGAGGAGGTGAATCGGAGTCTTCAGGGGTATGAATATCAGAATAAGCACGATTAAAGCAACAAAATCCAACGAGATATTATCAAGGTCACATGAGGAATGATAAAGAACGGCAAAGTGGAGATCAAGAGCCTTTGAATAAGTGGATCAAAGGTGGACCGCACTAGCAATCAGCAACGCATTACTAAGAGTATCGAGATTTGGTCAAAGAGGGTCGAAATCGTCACAAGAAGAAACAAGATCGGCACGAGAGGGAGGATCAAGATCGGCACGAAGAGGAAATCAAGATCATTTCCAAGAAGTGGATGGAGATTGGTACGAGGAGTGGTAAGATTACAACAGGGATAAATTCAAGATAGGCAGGAGGAAGACCACGAAATCCCACGAGGAATAGCATCAAGATCAATCACATGGGGAATGATAAAAGACGGCAAAAGTGAAAGATCCTTAAGTAGAGAATCAAACGTAGGCCACTTGAAAAATCAACAAAACATGACAACGCGATCAAAATATACGCAAAGAGCGTAGAGATTGCCACGACAAGAAGTCAGGAATGTTAAGGATGGCAAAAGTGGAGAGTCAAGAGCCTGTGGAGCCTGTGCGTAAATGGGTCAGACGTGGGCCACATGAGAAATAAGCAACACGTGACGAAGAACATCAGGATGTGCACAAAGAGGGTCGAGATCTCCACGACAAGAAGCAGGACCGGCGCGAGGAGGAGCATCTAGGTCACCACGAGAACAATAGCTAAGATCGCAGCGAGGAGGATAATCAAGATCGGCACGCAGGGGAGAATTGATATCGGCACGAGAAGGGAATCAAGACCAGCAGTAGAAGAGGATCAGCATCGTCGCAGTAAAGAGAATCAAGATCGACACGAGTGGGAGGATCAAGATGGGCACGAGGAAGGGATCAAGATCAGCACCAGAAGCAGGATCAAGATAGCCACAAGGCTGAGGATCGTGATCGGCACGAGGAGGAGAACCAAAATGACCGCGAGGAGGATGATCAAGATTGCCACTAGAAGGATTGCGAAGATCGCACGAGGAGAAGAATCAAGATCTTTACGAGGATGAATGTCTGGAACGGCACGAGAAAGGCAACAAAATCCAACGAGGGGTAATATCAAGATCACCTGAGGAATGATAGAGAGCAGCGAAAGTACAAGACCAAGAGCATTTAAGTTAATCGGTCAAAGCACGTTAATCGATCAAAGCTCGATCCTCAGCCTTGTGGCTACCAGACATTACGAAGACATCGAGGTCTGCTTGCAGAGGGTGGAGATCGCCACGGCGAGAAAAAAGAAGATCGGCACGAGGAGGAGGATCAAGGTCGGCACGGGGATGAAGACCAAGACTGGTACGAGGAGGTGGACTAAGACTGAAACGAAGTAATGCATCCGGATCAGCACTAGAAGGTGGATCAAGATCGGCACGAGGAGGTGGACCAAGATTGGGGCAAGGAGGATGGTCGAGATCGGAACGAAGAGGTGGACCAAGCTCGACACGAGAAAGAGTATCAAGATTGGCACGGGGAGAAAAATCAAGATAATCAGGAGGAGGTGGACCAAAATCAGCATGAGGAAGGTAATTACGTTTGGCGTGAGGAGCATCAAGGTCACCACGAGACGCGAATAGCAGTATTAATTTCATCACGAGGACGAAGATCAAGACCCGAACGAGGAGCAGGATTAAGATAGGCGGAAGGAGGAGGATCAAGATCGCCGCGAGGAGATGGATCGAGATCAGCAGTAGAAAGTGGATCAAAATCTCAGGAAGGGGAATCGATGTCGGCACCATTTGGATTTGTCACATCACATCGTTCAGAACATTTTGACTCTCCTTACCCCATTCTCCCGATGGGGGAAGCATGTGGTATTCTGCTGGATACTGAACCACGCTGGCATATCGGGTGATGAAGTAGCTGATACCGCAGCGAGGCGTGCCGCACACGCAACTGGCACCCCTACTATGAGAGTCCCTGGCAAGACCGATATGTAGCAGCAACTGCATCCATATGCAAGCAGTGGCAAGCTATTCGCGATGTGCGTACTGCCAACAACCTGAGAGGAACAAAGCCACGGTTTGGACCATGGGCGTCCAGCTGTCGTAAGGTGAGGCGGGATGAAGTGATCCTATGCCGCCTGAGAATAGGACATGCAGACGCAGTTCACCGGTACCTGTTGTGTGAGGAGATCAACCGCGATGTCCTCGGTGTGGGAGCGTTACACCGTACATGCGTTGAAGGATTGTGCCCACCTCGTTTTGGAGCGCATGCGCTATTTGAACCGGGGTTCGTGCGCCGTGCGCGCTCTGGTATCTTAGGAGATGGCTCGAATTGGGTGGGCGGCTGTCAATATTTCTAATTTTCTTAAAGGCGTACAGGTCCATGCCAGATATCGAATGCGAACTTGTCTCCTTGCTTTTTCATGCATCTTTCAAGTAAAAAGTAATTTATTGGCGCCATGTCACCATTGTAGTCGGTGCGCCCCGAACCCCAAATCATCATCATCATCATCGAAAAGAAGGGCCAAGATCGTCATGAGCAGAAGGAGGATACAGATTGGCACGGCGAGAAAGATCAACATCACCACGAGGAGCTGGACTAAGGTCGACGTTATGAAGAGGATCAAGATCGGCACGAGGAGGTGGATCAAGGTCGCTGCGAGGAGGATGAAGATCGGCACGAGGAGGGGGATCAAGATCGGCACGAGGAGGAGGACCAAGATCGGCACGAGGAGGAGGATCAAGATCGGCACGAGGAGGAGGATCAAGACCGGCACGAAGAGGAGGATCAGGATCGGCACGAGGAGGAGGAGGGTCAAGATCGGCACGAGGAGGAGGAAGATCAAGATCGGCACGAGGAGGAGGATCAAGACCGGCATGAGGAGGAGGATCAAGATCTTTACGAGAAAGCGTATAAGGAAGAAAGCAACAAAATCTAACGAGGGATAATATCAAGATCACATAGGAGATGATAAAGAACGGCAAAAGTGGAAAATCGAGAGCTGTTGGGTTGATAGATCGAACGGGGATCGCATTAGCAATCAGCGAAACATCACGAAGAGTACAAAATGTACTCAAAGAGTGTCAATATCGCCAAGAAAGGAAGAAACCAGATCGACGGGAGTTGAAGATCAAGATCAGCACGGGGACAAGAACCAAGATCGGCACGAGGAGGTGGACCAAGATCATCACCGTCATCATCATCATCAAGCTGATCATCAAGATCAGCACCAGGATGGGATCAGGATCGGCATGAGGATGTGGATCAAGATCGCCGCGAGGAGGATAGAGACCGGTATGAGAAGGAGGACCAAGGTCGGCACGAGGAGGAAGATCAAGATCGGCACGAGGAGGAGGATCAAGATCTTCAGGAGGACGAGGACGTTCCAGATCGGCACGGCGGGGAACATCGATATCACCACGAGGAGAGGGAATGAGATAGACATGAGGAAGAGGATTAAGTTCGGCACGATGAGATGCATCAATATCGACCTAAGAAGGGTGATTGAGATCAGCAGGAAAATATAGATCAAGATCAGGATGTGGATAAACATAAGATCAGCACGAGGAAAGGAACGAAATGATGGGA